TGAGGAGGTCAAGATTGTAGTTATTGGAAACGAAGGAAAAGATACGTCGTTCCGTCGGAGTCTATTCCACAAAGCGGCAGTTCTTGGGAAAAAGCTATCGGAAAGGAACTTACTTCATACTATAGGAATACGAAGGGAAAAGATAACAGTTGAGTCTAGACGTGAGGAGGTCAAAGATTGTAGTTATTGGAAAAACGTCGTTCCGGGAGTCTATTCCACAAAGCGGCAGTTCTTGGGAAAAGCTATCGGAAAGGAACTTACTTCATACTATAGGAATACGAAGGGAAAAGATAACAGTTGAGTCTAGACGTGAGGAGGTCAAGATTGTAGTTATTGGGAAAACGTCGTTCCGGGAGTCTATTCCAAAAAGCGGCAGTTCTTGGGAAAAAGCTATCGGAAAGGAACTTACTTCATACTATAGGAATACGAAGGGAAAAGATATAACAGTTGAGTCTAGACGTGAGGAGGTCAAGATTGTAGTTATTGGGAAAACGTCGTTCCGGGAGTCTATTCCACAAAGCGGCAGTTCTTGGGAAAAAGCTATCGGAAAGGAACTTACTTCATACTATAGGAATACGAAGGAAAAGATAACAGTTGAGTCTAGACGTGAGGAGGTCAAGATTGTAGTTATTGGGAAAAACGTCGTTCCGGGAGTCTATTCCACAAAGCGGCAGTTCTTGGGAAAAAGCTATCGGAAAGGAACTTAACAGTTCATACGTGATAGGAATACGAAGGGAAAAGATAACAGTTGAGTCTAGACGTGAGGAGGTCAAGATTGTAGTTATTGGGAAAACGTCGTTCCGGGAGTTCTATTCCACAAAGCGGCAGTTCTTGGGAAAAAGCTATCGGAAAGGAACTTACTTCAAAGGACTTTTATAGGAATACGAAGGAAAAAGATAACAGTTGAGTCTAGACGTGGGAGGAGGTCAAGATTGTAGTTATTGGGAAAACGTCGTTCCGGGAGTCTATTCCACAAAGCGGCAGTTCTTGGGAAAAAGCTATCGGAAAGGAACTTACTTCATACTATAGGAATACGAAGGAAAAAGATAACAGTTGAGTCTAGACGTGAGGAGGTCAAGATTGTAGTTATTGGGAAAACGTCGTTCCGGGAGTCTATTCCACAAAGCGGCAGTTCTTGGGAAAAAGCTATCGGAAAGGAACTTACTTGAGGAGGTCATACTATAGGAATACGAAGGGAAAAGATAACAGTTGAGTCTAGACGTGAGGAGGTCAAGATTGTAGTTATTGGGAAAACGTCGTTCCGGGAGTCTATTCCACAAAGCGGCAGTTCTTGGGAAAAAGCTATCGGAAAGGAACTTACTTCATACTATAGGAATACGAAGGGAAAAGATAACAGTTGAGTCTAGACGTGAGGAGGTCAAGATTGTAGTTATTGGAAATACGTCGTTCCGGGAGTCTATTCCACAAATAGCGGCAGTTCTTGGGAAAATTGTAGCTATCGGAAAGGAACTTATCCACAAAGCGGCAGTTCATACTATAGGAATACGAAGGAAAAGATAACAGTTGAGTCTAGACGTGAGGAGGTCAAGATTGTAGTTATTGGGAAAACGTCGTTCCGGGAGTCTATTCCACAAAGCGGCAGTTCTTGGGAAAAAAGCTATCGGAAAGGAACTTACTTCATACTATAGGAATACGAAGGGAAAAGATAACAGTTGAGTCTAGACGTGAGGAGGTCAAGATTGTAGTTATTGGGAAAACGTCGAAATCGTTCCGGGAGTCTATTCCACAAAGCGGCAGTTCTTGGGAAAAAGCTATCGGAAAGGAACTTACTTCATACTATAGGAATACGAAGGGAAAAAGATAACAGTTGAGTCTAGACGTGAGGAGGTCAAGATTGTAGTTATTGGAAATACGTCGTTCCGGGAGTCTATTCCACAAAGCGGCAGTTCTTGGGAAAAAAGCTATCGGAAAGGAACTTACTTCATACTATAGGAATACGAAGGAAAAGATAACAGTTGAGTCTAGACGTGAGGAGGTCAAGATTGTAGTTATTGGGAAAACGTCGTTCCGGGAGTCTATTCCACAAAGCGGCAGTTCTTGGGAAAAAGCTATCGGAAAGGAACTTACTTCATACTATCGGAATACAAAGGGAAAAGATAGCAGTTGAGTCTAGACGTGAGGAGGTCAAGATTGTAGTTATTGAAAATACGTCGTTCCGGGAGTCTATTCCACAAAGCGGCAGTTCTTGGGAAAAAGCTATCGGAAAGGAACTTACTTCATACTATGGAATACGAAGGGGGAAAAGATAACAGTTGAGTCTAGACGTGAGGAGGTCAAGATTGTAGTTATTGGAAATACGTCGTTCCGGGAGTCTATTCCACAAAGCGGCAGTTCTTGGGAAAAAGCTATCGGAAAGGAACTTACTTCATACTATAGGAATACGAAGGAAAAGATAACAGTTGAGTCTAGACGTGAGGAGGTCAAGATTGTAGTTATTGGAAATACGTCGTTCCGGGAGTCTATTCCACAAAGCGGCAGTTCTTGGGAAAAAGCTATCAGAAAGGAACTTACTTCATACTATAGGAATACAAAGGGAAAAGATAACAGTTGAGTCTAGACGTGAGGAGGTCAAGATTGTAGTTATTGGAAATACGTCGTTCCGGGAGTCTATTCCACAAAGCGGCAGTTCTTGGGAAAAAGCTATCGGAAAGGAACTTACTTCATACTATAGGAATACGAAGAGAAAAGATAACAGTTGAGTCTAGACGTGAAGAGGTCAAGATTGTAGTTATTGGGAAAACGTCGTTCCGGGAGTCTATTCCACAAAGCGGCAGTTCTTGGGAAAAAGCTATCGAAAGGAACTTACTTCATACTATAGGAATACGAAGGAAAAGATAACAGTTGAGTCTAGACGTGAGGAGGTCAAGATTGTAGTTATTGGGAAAACGTCGTTCCGGGAGTCTGTTCCACAAAGCGGCAGTTCTTGGGAAAAAGCTATCGGAAAGGAACCTACTTCATACTATAGGAATACGAAGGGAAAAGACAACAGTTGAGTCTAGACGTGAGGAGGTCAAGATTGTAGTTATTGGAAATACGTCGTTCCGGGAGTCTATTCCACAAAGAGGCAGTTCTTGGGAAAAAGCTATCGGAAAGGAACTTACTTCTGACAGTTGAGCCGAGACGTGAGGTCAAGGTTGTAGATGTAGAAAACATCATGCCGGGAGTCTGTTCCCCAAAGTAGCAGTTCTTGGGAAAAAGATATCCGAGTGGAAATTTCTTCTTAAAAATTGAATTACGATGTTAATGAGGATGATTCTTCCTTGTGAACGCGGCATGGCGGGACCGATCAACAAAGTTCAGCATTGGTGAAACCAAGGACGATAGCTGGTCAGAACATTGCCAGGGAACCAGCGATAGAGTTGCGTGTGACTGGCGACATTTCAACTGTGGAAAGGGGTTGTAGGATGGGAGATAATTCATCACCCACAAGGCCGCGTTGATTCTAGTAAGACAGTCAAGTGAGGAGTGGGAATCCCCAATGCAGCAATACTCTATTTATCTCCAGGTCTGATACTCAATGGAACGCTAAAATGAACCGACCATTTTCCAACATCTTCAGCAATAGATCGGATATATGAGTTCAGTGTCAGTTTGGTGATTGTGTAAAGTTACAGTTTTTTTTTTCAAATGTTAATGTTCATAAAATAAAAAGGAACAAGAGCCACTCAAGGTAGAGTGTTGCTGTACAGTGTTGTATGAGCGTAAGAAAGGGTGCGGCTGATATGAAGAACTGAAATGAATTCTTAGAAGAGATTTATGGTCATTAATAGCCTTGCCATTACAGTGGTTCAATATAGTTACACCATCTTCAACTGAACTCTAAATGATATCAGACGAATGGATTCTAAGACAAGAAAGATCCTTTCTAAGCATAACATGCATCGTCCAAATGTTGAAGCAGAACGTCTATATGTATTCCGTAAAGAAGGTGGAAGTAGTCTTATTCATCTAGAATTGTCATAAAAAAACAACAACTATTGGCTTACTAACATACATGGAAACAACAAAGGACTGGATGATACAACACGGAAACAGAAAGAAAAAATATCTAATCATGAAAGAAGGTTGTAAATACGAACGAGACTTACATTTAGTAGATTCTGTAGTGTTATGGATTCCGGGGATGGAATCCTGCACAAATAAATAAACAACGCCAGTAATTGAAATAGAAAAATAGGTGTATTAAACGTAAGAATACAACTTGAAATGAAGATTAGTAGTCCAGGAAAGCGGGTTAGTAGAAATGTATATTTACAAGTCTCTGTATTGGAAGCTGTAATTATCTCTCTTTCTGGACTCACGTCACTCTGTGTGAACACCCTGTGTCGACCTTTTTTTGTCACGCTATCTCTCCGTAGTATAAGTATACATTGGGCGAGTCCATTTTGTGTACAAGGGGCAAGCCCCACAATATGTAGAAAACCAAAATAGAACTCAAGAACCAACTGTTGCTTCAAAAATTATGAAAAAGAAAGCTAAGCATAAAGCACTTAAACCAATGAAACAACGCTGGGAAGACGAACCTCTCCATAGCCAATATCCAGAACGAGGCTAATAAAGCCAATGTTGATAAAGTTAACACTCATCGATGGTTACGAGCCGACTAGATTCAAGTTTGAAACGGAAGGTATTATTCTTGCAGAAACATTCAGCCAAATATCGTAACTGATAGTGTGGATACAAAATGCAGGTTCTGTGACAAAGATAAGAAAACCATAGACCATCGATTGCTTTTTGAGCAAATGAATATAAAAATCGTCAAGATAGAGTGGGACAATATTTACACTGGACAACGTGGAAACACTTTGGAAAACGTTCTTAACGAACACTGGTATGGAAATGAACCACCACCGCTTACAGAAAAAGAAGATATCACAATTCTCTGGGATTACACCATCTTTACAGACAGGAAGATTGAAGTAAATAGGCTGGACATAATTGTCAAAAACCGAAATATAAAATCGTGCCTACTAATCGATATGGCTTGCCCAGCGGATTGTAACATAACAACTAAGGAATCTGATAAACTATCGAATTATAAAGACATGGAAATCGAAATAAAAAAAAAATGTAGAAATTGCAAACAAGAATAATACAAGTCATAGTAGGTGCGCTTGGAATGATAAAAAAGGAACATAACAACACACTGAAAAATCCCTGGAAATCCCAGCATAAGAGAAATACAAAAGATTGTCTTGATAAGTACAAGCCAGAGACTAAGAAGAAATTTGTCCATGTAACACTAGTGATGTTATGGGAGTTAGAAAAACAAATTATGAAATGTAACGATAACGACACAACACTACCTGTCTT